GACCTCTCCGATTCCTGCGAAGATTATTGCGACGCCGTAGAGAACCCCAGCGGAATATGCCCGCTCAAGTGCATAGATTCTTGCCCATCCCTCTGCAAAATCCCCACCCTCGAGATCCCTCCGCCGCCTCCCCCTCCGCCGCCGGCAAAATACCACCGCCTCTCGCTCCTCCTCACCGCCTCCCTCGCTGCCCTCGCCGCTTCCTTTTTTCTCTTCACCTGCTACACGATCTACCGCCTCTACACCAACTGGTGCTCCCCCCGCCGCCGCATCCGCCAGCGGCGGCATCCAGAGGGAGATGACGTCGGGCCGGAAATTCTCCCCGAAGACCACCACATATGGCACATCCGGACAGTTGGGCTCCAGCCGTCTGTGATCGGCGCCATCACGATCGTTCGATACGAAAAAGGGGAAGGCCTGATCGACGGCTCGGATTGCTCCGTGTGCCTTAACGAGTTTCAGGAGGACGAGACGCTGAGGCTACTGCCCAAGTGCAGCCACGCGTTTCACGTGCCTTGTATCGATACCTGGCTGAGGTCGCACACTAATTTCCCCCTTTGCCGGGCCGGAATCGTGGCCGATCCAGCTGTCCAGGCCCAAAATTCTCAGATTCTGGGCCCGGGCCCAGGCCCAGAAGAAGGAGGCCGGATGGGGTTATCAGGGAGGATTAGCCGGAGAGTTATTGATGTGGTGGGATCAGAAAGTGAGTCTTCGGAGTTGGAGATTGGGATTATTGTGAGTGCGGATGAGATGGAATCAGAGGCTCTTAACCGGCCTAAAGCTAATGTAGACGGGCCTATGAGAAGATCAGTCTCGGTGAATTCTTTATCCGTGATGATAGGAATTTGATTTATCCGATGTTCGTTGCGTCAATAGAGTCTGAGTGTAGGATTTTTGGAGTTAACCGGGGCTTCTTGAGATTAGTTGAGACCCAAACAGGGTCTTCTTTTATGAAGCGATCACTTTCGTGTAGTGGTAATGTATTTGTGCCGAGGCATGGTGCCAAAAGAAACCGGAATTGAGTTGTTTGGCTGCAAGTCTTGGGATGGGAGATATCTATCTTAAGAGATAGATGAGTTTGGTTTATTACAAATCATTTTGTTGCAATTTTGTGCGTGATTAATAAAATGATGGTTCGTGTGTATGGATATTCGGGATGCCTAGTCAAAGGATAGGCCTCTCGAGTGGGCATCAATCATCAAGTAAAATGTAAGTAGAAGTTTTGGCATTTTTCCCAGATGAAATATGATTCGTTTAGGATATGTCTTACAATTTACAGCTGAATTTTGATGGCTTTTTGAGAATGGTATTTGGATCTGTTCTACATTTGTGAGTCTTTTGTTAACACAGGCGATTATTTCATTTTTATTTTTCAAGTATTTGTCTGGGTTTCTTTTAGTTAGTTCTTCTTCTACAGCAATAGCAGGTGGATGGCAAAGTTTGCTATATTTGAAAATTTTCATGTATTTAGAGATGGGTGAGCAAAGCCATTTTGTGAATTAATTGGTGTTCCAAAAGATAAGTGATGCCAATTTAAGGTACACTTCTTGTGTATGAAGAAACTAAGTTATGTTTCGAGCGAATTTACGATGCTCTTTTATCTGCAAATTCTGACGCCTCTTGTTTTATTTGGTAAATGATCTAAATTTTCATCAAGTTGTTTTCTTTTTTTCCCTTCAGCAGGGTTTATTTTAATGGTCCTTGAGTATGCATTGTTTGGATATAGGTATCTCAAAGGAACTTAAAGGTAAAAAGGCCGCCTTCTACTTGACATCAATGTTTTAAATACTGCCAAGATGATATTGTAAGAAAAGTACTTGGAGACGATAAATCTTTTATTGAAGTTGAGTCTTATTTCACCGATGCTAAGTACTATTTTGAAGATGCTAAGTCTGCTGGCTATCAATAAACTCTCATTAAACAACAAAATGATGCCAAAGAGAAGAAAGTCAAGAATCTTGCTGGGAAGGACTCTCTCGATAGGCTGGTGTTTATTGTGTTTTTGTGCTTATTTTTCGTGTGTTTTATGTACTTTAGTTTAGTCTTCTTAGGTCCGTTTTATTGTCGACCGGTCCATTTTATCATGTTTCGTATTTTTTTGCTCTCATTTTATGTTTTTGTGGTTCGACGTACTTTTCTTGTCTTTTTTGTGTTGTTTAGGTCCATACTATGTGAGTCTAGGGAGACGAACCATTTTCGAGCCGTCCGAACCATGTTCGAGCCACGCGAACAATTTCCGAGTCGTTCTGAGAATATTTATTAATTGCGTGGTGGTAGTTATTTGTGCATCTCAAGACGAGGAGAAGAAGATTTGAGAAGCGTGGGTCAAAGTTTCAAGTCAATCGGAGAAGCGTGCGAGAAGTTAGAGCGAACCAAGCATCAAGGGGTCACCGGGACCATTTCCAGCGTCTCGAGCCTGCACCCATGAGTGGCCGCCCGCGCCCGTGAGTCGCGCCTGCCGCGAGTCCTCAGACCGCGCCCACTCCCGCGAACAGCTCCAGTGCCTGCTGCCCGCGAGCTCCGCTCCCCGCGCCCGCGAAAGACCTGCTACTCTCGAGTCCTCAGTGCCACCTCGCCCGCGAGTTTTCGCACCCGCGCCCGCGCCCACAAAACGCCGTTTGCTCGCAAGTCCGCGTCTCTTGCACCCTGCCCACGGATCCGGCTCGCGAAAATTAAGTGCTAACTCGCGAGTTGATCCTAGCTCGCGAGTGTTTTTTTTTTAGTGTGTGTGTTCAGTGTATGTTTTTGCTACTTAGTATAAATAGACTTTAGTGCTTTGTATTTTGGGATCTATCTCTCATTTTTTACTTTCCCACTTTGGGAAAAATTCTATTTTTCTGTTTTGCTCCCAATTTTTCCTTTGGAGGTCTATGTCATCACTTTCCAGTGACTTTTCAGTTGTTTTCGTTTTTGTTCAAGTTCTGAACTTTTGAATCTGAATCTCGTCTAGCACGCAATAGAAATTGGGCATTTAATTCTAAACCTCAATATTTTGATTTTTGCCTCGTTTTTACTTATGAATCTTTTCAAAGTAGATTTGGGTGTTGCTTGATGATGGATGGAAAGTTTGGATGTTATTATTTTTATTACTTGCCTAATTGATTGTAGGGGTTAATTGCTTGCCTATCTAGATTAAGGGTTGAGACTCTATTTAGGGCTTAATCACTTAGGGTTATAAGATTAGTATCAATTACTTAGAGCTTAGTGTTTGCATATTTCTCTTCGTTATTTTCGTTTTGTGTCGATGGCATAGAGACTCCGATAGTTTAATTTCCATATCCTCTTGTTTGCTTGTTGCTTTCAAATCTGAGTTTCGATTAGCATTAATTCATCCCCAATCGTATTGATTAGCATGTTTAGCTTTTTTTTTCGTTTTGTATGATTTGGACAATTGATTAACGAACAAAGCTCTGAGCCGTCTTCCTTTGAGAACGACTCGAGTTGGATACTCGGTTATCATCAATCCCTAAAAATACTACAAACACCAAACCAAACAATTCGGGTAATAAAAACAAGAAAATAAACAACGAAATAACGAAATTAGCGGCAGAAAGGTCACTGACTTGGTTCAAAGTTGTAGTCTACGAAATTTGGGCTTAGGTCGTATTTACACAGAAGCTCGTCTTTAACCAGATCTTTCGAATTCCGTTCATTGGGTTTCTTCCTGAGTAAAAGATCTAATTGGTCGACAAAATCTGAGCTCAGGTATCGCTTCTCGTACTGAAAATAGGAAAGGCCAGCCTGTTAGCATAAAATAGAGAAAAATAGAAAACGAAGTATGAATAATGGAAGAAACTTACAATTTCCCGTAAAAAATTTGGTCGGAACGAACAATGCATTGTCCACGTCTCCAACCCTAGATGCACCAGGGGTCTGCTAATCTTCGTCGACCCAAAAGGATTCCTTTTGAAAGCATGTAATGTGTTGGTAAGTTGGGTGACTAATTCAAAGGTACCAAGAATCTAGTTGGGAGTCAGAGTCAGAGTCGGTCATCCCTGTCGAAGGAACATGATGATCACCAGGCTGATTAATTTGGCCAAGCGTTATATGTGATCTGGCTGAAGCCAATGCCAAGCTCCTTGACATACTCGGTAATGATGTGGGTGAGGGGGAACCTGAGCCTGAATATCATACTTTGTTTGAATACCCCTATACAACCCGAAGGCGGACTGTGGATCAGTTTTCCAAGGTAGGGTGCGAACATCTGAACACCTGATGGGACCCAAACTGATCTCCTCAGTTGAACGACATCGAAGTCGGTCATTATGCTGGCTCTATTACCAAGGGCCAGATAGCTCGCCTCCAGCTATACTCGGCTGGGTCTCCGCCAAAAGCAGTTCGGCACGACGACGGCGGCCTCTATGGCTAAGTCCTCTTGGACATCACTTCGGGTAGTCTTTCTCTGCCTCGTGTATCTCCCTGAAGGGTATCTTTGACCAACTCCATGTCGGGTGGCGAAGATACCGTGTCGGCCATCTTGGGCGGCAGCAAAGACACCGAGACAACCACCTCACGCGACAATGAAGACTCCCAGTTGACCACTGCATGCCGCGAAGACGTCGTACCAACTATTTCACATGGCGAAGACATTGGATTTAATAAAAATCGAAGAATAAAAAAAGAGTCTTACTGGAATTCGAAACTTCAAAAACTGCATAAGCGGCGGACAATGAACTCTCGAGAAGATGAAGTTTACAGATTTCGAAAAGTAAAACATTAGGTCAAAGGGTTTGCATTTCCCCCTCATCCGACAAGGAGCCGTTGGACAAGAATCATTTCGTAGCGCGCATTGGATTTAATGCTCTCATTGTTTCACGAAATTGATGCGCACGTATCCGAAAGATCATAAATGCCATAAACGTCTTTTCATAAAGATGTCTTTTAACCGACAAAATTAATCCGTTTTGAAAATTCAAATTTGGTATTAAGGATTCGGTTTGTATATCAGTTTTGATGACTTATTAAGATACGACCACTGATGATCCAACCATCTGACGAACCATCTGAGTTCAGGGGCCTGTATCTTGACATCTGAACTGGCAACTTCGTCATCATCCACACGTGGCATGAGAACTACCTCTATCCGACCTCAAGTGTTGAAACAGTGAGTAAGCTGGTCTGCTCGACATCAAATTCATGTAAAGCTATTCAACTTGGAATTGATTTCAACCATAAAAAACACTCGGTTATCCAGCCCTAGGCGTTGACCTACACCCTGCAAAGACCAACCTCTGACAACGCATTAAGTTCTTACAGGACGAATGCTCATCGTACTGTCGAAGGTGATCATTAGGAGTAGATCCCACCCTGCAAAATCGCAGGTCGCAATCTAATCGCATTTAATGTTGATGTATTGACCTCGTAAACAGTGCCCGTGAATTTTACACTATAAATACCCCTCATTTATGGTAATAGAGGATACAATTGTTCTCTTTCTAAAAATAACTCTCAATTTTATAAGAGGACCTGAGTTGATTTATGGTATAAGAAAGGTCATCCGACCTCATTTCAGTATATAAATCTTGTTTTTATTTAGGGAATTCTTCCCACCCGCTAACTCATATTTCATCAGTCAACACATATATAAATAAATAAATAATTTTATTTTTTATAAGTCAATTCTGGTACTTCGTAATTTATATGTCGAATTTTGGTGATTTGTAATCTTATATGTTTAGTTTGGAGTAATACAAGTAAATTTGTCTTCTATCATCCATGTCTATTACGACTTTTAAAAATATCATGTCTATTAGGACTTTTAAAATTATAAAATATTTCACTAACTTAAATTGTAAATATATTTAAGAGTTAATAACTATTGTTTTTATCAATTTTTCAGTATATAATAT